CCCCCCCCCCCCCCCCCCGGGGGGAGGGCCGGTCCCGGGGGGGGGGGGGGGGGCACCAGTTGCCCATGGTACTATATATTAATTCTTCTTTACAGTATAATGTAAAGTCTTAATTACAACAACCTCAAGTTTCCACCACAAAACACATCATACACACCTAAGTAATGCACATACATCAATTCTGAATGTTTGTTAATATTGCCAAGTTTGTAATTTAGTCTTTGCATGATAGCACAAGTAGAACATTAAAACATGCCCAGAGTGCAGAGCACAGTGGCTATTTACTGTTTTCCCCAAGGTCCACAGAATTCTTTCACATCTAGGCAAGATTATAATGCTTGAACAACTTAAGGAGTCCATCTGCACAATCATACTCTTTATGGAACTACCAATGGAGTTGGGAACCCTAGGTGAATCTTTTTCAGTCGAAGTTGTAAAAGCAGCTTATTAGAAAATCTAACAAATGGCTATGTCCAGATGACTATTTTTCCACTACCTCCCCTCCCCCAAAGTTCTTCTAAAGAAAGACAGACCTTAATTGTAGTATTCTTTGTTTTTATTGGTTACTAGCCAATTGCCTGCCAAGAATGATGGGGGTCTGGGTGGGGGGAGACTGGGATGGAGTGCTGCCATGTAACGCCCCATGCTGCCGCTGTTCTGCCTCCTGCAGGGAGCAGGGTGGGGGAAGCTGAGGCCAGCACTGCTGGCTTCAGCTCCCCCACCCTCTGTCTGGTCCTTGGTGTGGCTTTGGAATCATGGCCACACTCCCCCACACTTGGAGCATTCTGATTGGCTGTTTCTATCAGCCAGTACCAAATGTGCAGTCAGCGGCACGTGTAGATGCATCCACAGAGACCTGGCACAGGGTTTACATTTGTCAGACATACATCATTAATTTATAGCACCTTAATCTTATTCCCATGGCTTGGGCATGAGAACAGAGAGTTTTAAAATTCACTCTAGAAATAGAGAAAGTTTGGACTGGGTTGAGTAGTTACTTTTGCTTACTTGCCTAAGCACTTACAGATTTGACTCTAAACTTCAGGAAGGAGTTCTACTCATATATGGAAACATGTTCATATGCATATGAATATATACATTTGCATATACACACATATGTGTATATATAGAGTGATATAGACAGCGAGAATTTTACAAAATGGAACCATTACTGGACACACACATTGGAAGAACTGAACGGGGTAACATCTTTCATTTTTGCTCTAACAGTTGAACCCCTGGAAATCTGAGTATGTAATAAATGCAGCAGGATTTATCATCTAACAGTACAAAATCATAC